GAGTGGAGGTGGACCTTACAAGCTGAGGGATGGGTATTTCTCTATTTCAATTCCAAATATTTTAAAGGGAAAGATTTCAGAGGTGTCCTGAGGTTCTGGCGGTGTGATAAGCTTCTGCAGATTGCTTATGTACAATAACATCTCATGCTAGGTCCCCTTTCCTGTAAGAGCCGTGGCCCTCACATACAGCAAAGCTTTTACACACCACCATTTCCCAGGAACGGTAACATTACAAGAGAAACCAAATATTCACAGCTAATTTTGTTTCAGAAAACATAAGAACTTTCCCTCTTTTAATTTTTTCTCTCTCATTCCTGGGACAGTTAGGTCACCACCAAATGGTATTATTTTAATCCCACAAATATTAACCCCATTTCCCCATGATGATTCTGAGGAAAACAACGTAATGATATTTATTTTTATGTCTTAACAAGCAGTAAAAAATTTCAGCAAAAGAGAGGAAGACTCCCATCAAGATCAATTGACACAGTGACGGTAGCAGTGGGCCCAAGGTTATCAGAGATAGTGAGGATGGCATAGAATAGATTGGGATTCAGCTCTGTTGTTCAAAGGGTTGCTATGAGTCGTACTTGACTCAAAGGCACCTAAGAACACCACCACGGCTGCCTTCTCCACCAAATCACCATGGCTGGGTTGCAATCCCTCTGCTGATGGCCAGTGCTCCCATCAGGCAGTCCTCTCTCTTTTGCTCAAGATCTCTTTCAAGCCTTAAGGTCTACCAACGACACCTTTCCTTTGGTCCTCTCTTTGGTGTCAAGTAATAGCTTCTGAATAAAATGTCATCAAGGCACCAGACTCAAGTGAGTGCAGACAGTATAAAGACAGCATGGGCTCATGACAAATAAATAAATCTTTTCCCCAGGGTGGCCAGAGAATTGGATGTGAATAGCATGAAATCCACACAGCACATATGAAATACAAATGCTTGAGTCTGCCCTCCCATTATACTGACTTAATAGCTAACACACTAAGTAGCAAAGAAGATATCAAAAGACTCACTGCATTAGATAAAGTTATTGTAAAGGACATCTTTAATGTGCTAAAGAGCAAGGCTGTCAGTCTAAAGACTAAGGCACACCTCACCCAAGCCATGATTTTCAATTGCTTCATATATGTATAAAAGTTGGATAGTGAATAAAAAAAAAAGACTAAAGAAAAATGGATACCTTTGAATTGCAGTGTTGGTGAAGAACATTGAATACTCCATGGACTTCTAAATGCAGACAAATCTGACTGCAAAATAGGACAGGCAGGATGCACACACACAAAGGTGGTGAGATTTCACCTTACATATTTTGGGTATGTTATTTGGAGGGGTCTGCCCTTGGGAAAGGGCTTCAAGCTTGGAAAATTAAAGGATGAGTGAAGGACAGGAAAATTTTAAACAAGATGGACTGACACAGTCAATGAAACAATGGACAGGCTTAATCATTACCCGTGAAGCACCCACTGGGAGACTGTATGGTGCAGGACAGGGCAGAGTTTCATTCTACAAAACATAAGGTAACTTTGAGATCGAGTCAATTAGATGGTACTTAACAACAAACTCTCTAAGGAAAAAAAAAACCACCAAAACAAAATCCTAAATAGTTCTAGCAATGTGAGACTACAAGACTTCAGATACATTTAACTTTAGGTATCTTCAAGTATCTAGACTCTAATTACTCCATTTCTGGGTTCACCATACCCAAACCGAACCCTGATACATGGTGACCCTCCACTGGGTATCCAAAGATGTAAATCTTTAAAGGAAAACACTGTTTATATCTTTCCCACAGAGGGGTTTATGGGTTTTAGCCATCGATCTTTTGGTTGGCAGTGCAATCCATTACACCTCCAGAACTCTGTGTTTAGGGTGCGAAAAAAATGCATTTCCCTCAGACCAGAAAACCACTGTAAAATGAAACTATATGTTAAATTACAAACTAAATTATTTCAAGACACCAGGTGTTTGAACAAATAACTTTTAGAATACCAAAGATGTCTTACATCTTTGTTATGTCTTTATTTTTAACATACGACAAAGTAAATATGCTAACTTTGAATAACAGGTTAAAAATAAGTTTCCTCTAGGCAAGAGGTCGTTCTTGTTCAGCTCTGCACTGTAATTCCAAAGGAACATGGTTCAAATCCACTAGCTGTTTCAGAGGGGAAAGATGTACAATCTCCTCTCATGCGATTGAAAGTCTTTGAAAACCTGCTAGAAGGTCACCTATGGGTTGATTCCAACTTGATGGTACTCAACAACAATAACAACTTGTATTAGAGAGTTCTGGTGGCATATTCCAGAGAAGTTGTACCTCTTTGGGGTTCAAACCCACCAGTGATTCTAGAAGAGAAAGATGATCTAGAAGATCAAGCTCTTCCCATGTGATTTACTGTTGTATGTGCTGCTGAGCTGGAAATGACTCATAGCCGACCTTCCAGCAAATTTTCAGAGGGTGTTAATCACATGAGAGGAGACTGGCCATCTTTCATATACGGAGTAGCTGGTGGACCCAAACCTCATGTCTTTGGGTTGACAGCACAATTCCTAACCACTACCTCCCCCAAACACCTTGGAGGGTCACTTACAAGTTGGTTCCAAATGGACAGCAAAGAGTAAGTGAATGAACATATATTGGGGAGCTCTGGTAGCCTCGTCCTTAGGGAGTTACACTGCTAAGCCAACAGCTGAGCTTTCCTGGCATTTCAAATCCACCAGCGGCTCCTCAGGAGGAAGACAAACTATCTACTCCTGTGCGATTTGCGGCCTCAGAAACTCAGCAGAGTCAGCTATTCCAATCAGTCAGTCCTGATTTGTGAGTAAAAGTATACTAGCAGAATATTGAGCACTTACAAGTATCTCAAGCAGCTGAGGAGAGCAATATGTGCCATCGCTCGGCCAAGCCAAGGGCGCTGGCTGGAGTGCTAGTTGCCTTTTTCAGACAATGGCTGAGCCTCTTATTATAGAAAAGTATCCGTAGAGTCCACACAACAGAATCACTTAAACTGTCTCCTCTTCCCATTCCCAACTTATCCAAAACCTTAAAAAGCTCTGGGAACACAGCTCATTACTGGAAAACCAACAAAACAAAACAAATAGACTATATTACTCTCAAGACTCTAGGAATGGAAGACAGAAGCAAGTATGAAGAAATACACGAAATATTTTTGTTTACTGTGATAAGTCATGTTGGCTCCAAGGGTCAGGGTAGAAATATATTCTTAGTTTACAGAAGACTTTCTAAAATGTAGGACAGGAGAAAGACATCATGTTTTTCTTCTAAGGTTCTTCTAGGTGAGCTTGAACCTCTGCCTTTATGTTACTGAGTTTATTAGCCACAAATTCCCAATTATTACTTTAGATAAAGGGGAAAAATCATTCTAACCTGTACTTCCTTCTTATTCAGCAAATGTCCATGAATACAAGGAAGATAGCCATGATTCATCGGTGGAGAGAAGACAAAGTTTGTCAATACAAACCAAAACTTTTGTTTTCACTAGAATACTCTTTTAATCATCCAAACTATACCAGATTGAGAAAATACTTAGCATGCTACTTCATATCGCAACCAGTCACTTCAATTTTAGAAGATCAAATGTGGGAATGAAGACTTAACAACAAAATGGCTCCTTGGTAAGGATCTTTTCATTCTATAAATGAGGCATTGTAGGAAAAAATGTTATAAAGTCTAGGCAAGGTCTTGGGAAGGTCAAAATAAGAGACTAAGTGAGGCTGTGAAGGATTAGGATGTTGACCTTGAGCTCAACTAGCAATGTTTTCAATCACTGAAATGAATTGGTAATAATGCTTAAGAATCTTGCCTTGTGGGCCATATGAACTTTGATCTACTTATGTTTATTAAATAGCAGAAATGAGAAGAATTCTTTTCCTCTAGTTGTTGAGTTAGAACCATTGCTCATCCTTATCCCATGAAGAAGCTGGTGCATTCAAACCACATGCTTTTGGGATTGCAGTGCAGCTTCTTACTACTATACCACCCATATTGGGCTATTAACCAAAAGGTTGGCATTTCAAATCCACCAGCCACTCCAAAGGAGAAAGATGGTCAGTCTTCTCCTGTACATTTATAGCCTTGGAAAACCTGATTTAAGGTTAATCTGAAAAAACTTGAAAGCAGTGAGTTTTATTACCAGATTTATCTAAATAAGAACATATGTCTAAGACCAGCAACAAAATACAAGCCAATTTTCAGAGAAAACGAAAAAGACAAAAGTGTGTCAGACACATTATTGATAAACATATAAAAAGATACATGAAATTAAGATATAGCTATATGAAATACAGTTATAGTTATATGAAATAAAGACATAGCCATTGTCTTAGTATTTTAAATTCATGCAAACATTGCATTTAAAACAGGGGGGAGAAAAAAAAACACCAAAAAAACCCAACCAACATTTCGAGTCCCATTCCATTTAAAATAGATTCATGTTCCTGGGAAGGGTTCCAGGGAGTTGGATTGCTTCAAATTGGTCATGCATTAAATAAAGCTTTGTCTAACAAAAGCGAAAGAATAACTGATATGGTATCTGTACATTCACTCTGCACAAGGTTCTTTTGGCTCAAAAGCATTACTCAAAGGTAAATAGCAAATCAGATTACAGCTCTGGAGAATCCTACTCTGCCTCTTTTAGCAACACTGCCAGCTCACATCAACACTATAAGAGGGCTAACCAACTGTGTCATAAGGAATTTGTCATCTACCCTGTCTATTAGTTCCCCAAAGGTTCTCCTAATTTACACATAGTCCCTCCATTCATTCATTCGATTGCATTCACCTTTCATCTGTAAGAGATTTACTTGCGATAAATGTGTATGGCTCACTTTAACAGCAAATCTTAAAAGAAAAGACTTCAGCAGTTGCATTTTAGAAGGAAACAAAACCCAAATTCTGAGAGTCTACTGAACTAAAACTAAAAAGCCTTTACAGCAAGAGATTCATTCCTGGGTACCTGGTTTCCTTTCACTTTACCTGCTTCAGTGTACTTCAATCCTACTTTTTCTTCAGCGTCTTTTGTTTTTGGGGGTGGCCAGACAGCTTGGAGTCTGCCAGGAGTCCTGTCGTCCTGCTCAGTGGGGCTTTGGTCTGGCTGTTGAAACAAGGAGCAAAGACAGTTAAATTAAATACTTTCAGAATCAATTAGTTACTGAAAACACACTAATAACTCTCCTAACATTCATGACCAAGTGCACATTTCTCTTACTACCAAAAACTGAGACACTGTCTCATTACAGTATGATCTTTTTCTAGAAACACAGAGGTGAAAAATAAAAACCAATTCAAGGGTAAGCATTACACAACCCTTTATAGATGGCTTTTTATCATATAACTGTACAAAGAAAATAAGCCACTTTGATGTCAGGACACAGAGTTTATAGGAATGTCTACAAAGGCATCCTACACAACTCCAATGTTCGGGGGTTTTATTAATTATTTTTGTGATATGCATGCAAAGTTACAAAGCATACGGATCTCCATTCAATAATTCATATTTTGCACTTTCCATATACATTATAGCTCAAGACATAGGAAGTTCTAGTTCCTCGGGGCACAGCACTATTAACCCAAAGTTGGAATCCACCAGCTGCTTCATGGGAGAAAGACGGACAATCTTCTCCAGTGTTATTTACAGCCTCAGAAACCTAATGGGAGGTCAGCTATGAGTCAGTTCCAACTCGACAGCAAAATGACATTGAGTAGTCCATTGGACATCTTTGTGGGAGGAGGATAGTCAATCTCCTCCCATGCAATTCACTATCTCTGAAAACCCACCAGAGGATCAGGTATAG